TATGGCCACAAACATCACCGGCAGCTAGTCTCCACAAAGGGGGTCTGAATGATCAGTATGCAGGGATTCCGGATGCTCTAGCATTCTCCAGCTGCTGAGAACTAGTTGAGATTCTGCATCAACCATTTCAGCAACCATGTGAGCACCGGGCCCCCTGACCCCACCACGAATTCAGGGAGTCTTGTGCTTTCTGCACAGATTAAGCAGCTAATGCCAGCACCACTTGGAGCGCACTTGCCTGTCCCCGCCGCCTAATGCTCAGATGGCCTAGGGGTCTGACTTGTGGGCCTGCGATGCTTGGAGGATGGACTCAAGCATAGCATCGCCCGGCTTCTGGCCCTCTTGCAGCAAATCCAGCATCCTGGATCACAGGTGGGATCCACGTCGTTTCTGCCAACTACCTTCTTCTATACCGGAAGAACCCTCTAAGACCCTGCAAACTTCAGCTCATGGCCCAGCGTCTCTTTGCTGAACATCTTCTGCAAGGCATCTGGGCTGTTGATGACCTGCGCGGCGACTGGATTCCTTGGCCAGTCTTTAAACAATTTCAGAAGAAGGCAATATGTTGTAAGCAATACTGAAAGCTGTATGACCCCACTTCGCGTGTCAGAAAGTCTGCTTTGAACCATCACCAAACACTCAGACGCCACAATTCCCAGCAGTGTAGACATTACTTAAGGGATATTAGAGGTAAGCGGGCTGGCAGGCAGGGAGGCAGGTAGGCAGCAACTACATATGAGAGTGTACGAGGTCCAAATGGAGTTTTGGGGAAGCATGTTGGGATGAAGTATACTGGACCCAAAGCCTGATGAGAGAATATCGTTGCTGACGGTTCTCTTTTTTACGTGTATCTCTATATCTTTCTATATATAGAGAGATAGATAGGTAGATCGATCAGTAGCCTGCCCTAAACGCCTGGAAGCCCCCCAAACCTAGCACCTGAGCAACCTAGACCCTAAACCCTACACCCTAAACCCTAGACCCTAAACCCTAAACCCTTGAACCCTTAAACCCTATACCCCAAACCCTACCAAGATGCATAGCAGCCAGCTGCTGGACCAGCGGGCTTGCATGGATGACCTTGGCCAGCTTCTCCGGGTCTGAGGCGACGTCTTGCACTCGCCCCCTGACCTCTGCTTTTGGGGTTTAGGGTTTAGGGTTTAGGTGTTTAGGGTTTAGGGTTAGGATGTGTCTTTTTGAATTTTGGGTTCTAGGTTTTGGAATGGAAAAATTGTCAACACTGTGGTCGTTCCGGGAAACCAACGACGGATACGTCGCCCATAGAGTATTTGCGGGTAGCAAGTCTATCCGAATGGAAACTCTACATCCGTGGGATGAACTAAACCCGTCACCCCTGGGGCCCACGAGAAAGAAGTCTTTCTGATAATTGCTAAAACTTTCCATGTCGTAGAACGGCTCCGAAGGCGCCCCCCAAACCCTAAGCCCCAAGCCTTACACCCCCGAAAACCCTAGGCCCCCGGAACCTGAAACCCTAAAGGCGCTTCTAAGAAGACGTGAGTGACACTTGGATTGCTCAGCTCCTTCTGCAAGTCCTCTGCCACCCCAGGTGAGCTCGCGGGAAGAGCCGTGCCGTTGACCGCGTCCTGCAGTCAAGGGGGGAGTTGGTTAGCACTAGAACAGGTTCCCATTAAGCCCTTAAGAGCAGAGAGTAACAGGCCGCCGCGATGTGTCTTTTCGATATGCTTCTGGCTATTTTGTGTGGATTTTTGCTATGTTCCAGGTCCAAATACATGTACACATCTTAGCTACGCTGGCGAAACTTGGTCCACGATGTAAAGAATGTCGTGATAGAACTTAGATTAATGCTGCTAAGTATATCGAGGGAGCCCTCCAGTATACTCAGTATACTGAACCATGAGGGTTTAGGTTCAAGGTTTAGGGGTTAGGGGGCCCCCAGCAACCCCCTAGCAATACGGGCACTCTTTTCCTAATGTCCAGGCTTAACAAGGACAAGGAGACCCCAAAATCAAAAATGGAAAACGGGTACTGCTTGGGTATGGTCACTTACGAGGGCTTAGTCAAGGCAGGAACCCTAAACCCTAAACCCACTTAGGGGGCTTCTCGGCGGCAGCAAACTCATAGAGTAGACAGTAGGCCGAAGAGACCTGGAAGAAGTAGCAGTGGGATCACCCAGACCTGTGACCAATATAAACCCCCTCCCCTTAATAGGGATTACAATAGGGATCCTTTTATGAAGGCCCTTAAAAGGAGTGGGCTTACTAATAACCCTAAATAATAGTTTGCAATCTCTTTTCCATGATCCCTATATAACTCCTATATTCCCGCTAAATTGCTATATTATTCATAGATCACCCCCATAAGGCCCTTAAGAGGCTTGGGGGTTATTGATCATGGGTCAACATTAGCCCCAAGTTGGGAACCTGCCAAGCCAGGGGCCCCGAACTTGAATTTCAGGTGCGCTCATCAAAATGGGAGCTGGAAGTCTACTCCCTCACATGAGCTCCGGAACGGAACCCATTAATTTGAGAAACTCTGGACCCGAAACCCTCCGCTGCCCGTGGAATTGCCAGATCAAAGTACCTTGCATTTTCTCTGGGTTAGGGCGTAGGGCATTATCATGGCTTACTTTAACCAGACCCGATATTCAAGAGGACTGCATAGCGCCCCGATAAAGCTCCCATAAGCTAAACATAAGAAAGAGCGCGCTATCCTCCCCGCCTAAAGCAAAACCTGAACGAGGCTTGGCTGCCCGGATTCAGGGCTGGGGTTATCTAGGTTCGGGCAATCGAACTTCCACGACAAAACATTCCTACCTGTATCGGCTTCTCGGAATTGAATTTGTCTCGTCCACCCATCTTACTTTCCTCGGCTGTCTTCTATCCCCAAATGGGTCCTCGCCCAAATTGCCTGTAGTCTTCGTCATCTTCTGCAACGCCTCAGGCATGGCTTTTCGCGTAGCCCCCAAACGAAATTTGCAACAGGAACCGCGAAAGCCCCAAAATACTTTCCAGACCCCCCACAGAACCGAAGCCCTGTATACCCCAAGCGCAAAGCCCCAAACAGCAAAATTGAAGTTTTTCAGGGTCCAACACCAGAGAACCTAGGTTTTTAAGGTTCTGGCAGGGCTAGGAGCCCTACATCCTTATAGTCCCCCTAAAGGAAACAGAATATGGCTTTGGGTATGTTATGATAAGATCCCCATATATTTCCCATATTCAATCTACTTGAGGGGGACTATAGCCTTCAACGGCTAGACCCTACACTCTTCCAAACTAACAGAGGCGCAAAGAAAAGGACCATGATTACAATGTCGACTATGCTCCTACAACGAAGCCATATGGGCTTCCATGTTCGTTTGGAGTTCCCAGTAGAATACCAACGAAACATATACCCTTATCCCTGCTAACCCCCAGGAAGTATGTCTTGGCCTAACCGTTTACACTAAGACCCCCAGGTTTAAAGGCCCTGGGCTGCGCCTCAGACTCCATACGCTCACCTCGGCCAAAGCTTCGGAAGACCTCCGTCCACGAGCCAAGGCCCTTCAGCCCCTGTTGGATCTTGCCTGGGGACGGGATTGTAGAACCCTACGCATATGCCATATAACCCTTAGTCCCGTATTATCCCATATAATCCCCATATATAATCCCAGAAACGCCCTGTACAAATACCGCTTCTCATGAATCTTGCCTGGGCGTGGGATTGTCCAACCCCTATACATATATATACATACATACCCCATAATCCCCATTTAATCCCTACATCCCATCTAATACCTATGCAACTCCATATAATACCTCATGGATCTTGCCTGGGCATGGGCTCGGGCGTTTGTAGGTTTGGGGCTCCGGCTTTCTTTGCCGATGGGCCCGGGGCTTCGGGTTTTGGGGCTTGGAACTTTGGGGGCTTTGGGGCTTGGGGTTCTGAGCGCCTCCTTAGCATTGGTTCGTATGGCAGAATTGGAGCATTTCTTAGAGCTTGTGTTTGCCGAACCCAAGGTCTCCTTTCAGGGCTTCTTGGGGCTGCGCAAGGGCTCTCAGGCAGTATGACGACTTGAAGGAGATTTCTTGCATGTGACCGGGCCTC